CCCCCGAAGGGGGTTTCTGCAAAATGGGGGGGGCCCCTTCCCTTTTCCCGGGGAGGGAAATTTTTCCCCCCGGGGACCCCGGGCCCAAACGGGGAAAAAATGGGGGGGGGAAAAACCCCCCTGCAAAAAGGGCTTTTCCCCCTTTTTTTAAAGGGGGGGCCTTTTGGGGGGGGGGTTCCCCCCCCCCCCCCCCCCCCCCCCAATGGCAAAGAAGTGTACACAACTGAGCTGGGAAAAGTAGAAGGAAGTGCAGAGAGATGTTTGATGCGTGGAATAGCCAGGAGAAGACAGTAGCTGTACCGGGGCACAAGAAGCGGGTTGAAAAGGCGGGAGGTGATACCGATAGGATAGATGGACTACGATTTTTGAGCCACCTTTGGCAAAGTAGGAAGGGACGATTGGCCATCGGCGATAGATCCTGTGGGAAACACGCCCCGCCCTCTCGAGGGCGCGTGGTCAATGGTCCAACAGCTACAGTAAGGCATACGAAACATGAGTTTGTTGCCCGATTGCTCCCAAGGAGGTTCCGGTGCCGACAAAAAGCGGTTACGGAGGCGACTGGTCGATATATTTCCGCGAGCATGTATGCACACGCATCGGTAGGTTTCTTGCCTTTCTTGTACCATCCATCCGTCATTCTTTTATTTATTTTTTTCCTTGTCAACGACGAACACAGGGCCGGCCAGATTGCTCACAACCGCAAGTTTTTCGGGCCCAATGCCGGCGCGACCAAGCAGGCAGAGGTGAGCATGCACGAGCATGGAAGCGGATCTCTTGTACCTTTGTGTGGGTTTGCTGTGCTTCCGCGCGCGCTCGCTGTCTTCGATAGGCCGAGAGGTACAGTATAGACTCAGTGTGGTTCTGCCGCTCGCTGTCGTCGACAGGCAGAGATGATGTGTACCTATGTAAAGCCTCGGTTTAGCTCTGCCGCTCGCTGTCTTCGGCAGGCAGAGATGACAGGACGGCGCAGAGAAGATTGTGTCTTTTTTTCTTTGTTGACCTCGGCGTGGTTCAGCAGTTCGCTGTCTTACGCGTAGCCTAATCCCCCGCGGGCGAACGTCAAACACGAGTTTCAGAAAGAGGTGTAAGAAGAAAATACGCAGCATGTACACGAGAAAGAGGTGTAAGGTGTATCACCCGAAAGCTCCCAATTCCCAACGTGCTAGGCCTGTTCACTCATTCACACGTGTGTGGAGCTTATGGTCTGCGGAAGGACAACAAGGCCTGATATTGTGTCAATTTCTCCTTAATGTGGCTGCTTATGGTCTGCGGCAGGAGACGCAATAACTGATTTTTTCGTCAATTGCTTCCAAACGTGGGTGCTGTGTGTGGTGCGGTCGATCTGCGGAAAGACACAAACACCGACAATAGTCGATTGCTTCCTATCGTGACTGCTGTGTGTGGTGTGCGGTCGATCTGCGGAAAGACACAATAACCGACAATAGTCGATTGCTTCCTATCGTGACTGCTGTGTGTGGTGTGCGGTCGATCTGCGGAAAGACACAATAACCGACAATAGTCGATTGCTTCCTATCGTGACTGCTGTGTGTGGTGTGCAGTCGATCTGCGGAAGACACAAAAACTGACAACGGTCAACTTCTTCCTATCGTGACTGCTGTGTGTGGTGTGCAGTCGAGCTATGTCGAGATGGAGGGCTACGCTCAGGATTCATCGGACAAGATTTTGGCTATCGTCGACCAAACCCGCAAGCTGCTAGCGAAGATGGAGGTGGACTTGTCACGTGAAGACATGGATGGGCTCATGGAAGGTCGGCCAGTCTTATTTCTTACAGCAAGACATAACAAAGTCCCCTCTTCCATAGATAGGAGTCTGGGATAGACTAGCAATGAATTAATCCATTGCGTCAGCGTTTGTTTGGACGTTTGCTTCATTTCTGGAAACTTTTCTTCGAGCTGTACTGTATACCATAACGAGGAAAAAGGTGTACCCGAAATGTGTAGCCACACTAAACATATGAATATATCTAGAATCGACGAGGCTAGAATAGCGTCCGGCGGTAAAAGGAGGATGACTTATCTTCACGCACTTCACGTTGTTCGAACCCACAATTTTCCCAATCGCACAGCAGGACAACCCTTTTACTCTCTTTTGGCAAAGTTCAATTTTGTTGTTGTTGTTGTTGTCTGCACTTAAAATCGTGTCGGTTGCTAATCCCAAAATCTAGCAAAGACTCGATCCGTGGTCACAAAAAAGTTAGAGCCATCAGAAGATCTAAAGAACACGCAAACCAGCAAGAAAAGGGTACACAAGCCCGAAGAGGCACATCTACAATCCCTGCAGCACGGTTGCGTGCCCAAAACTGAACTACTCGTCCACACACTACATTCGATTACAGCATCATCACCCCCCTGTCCCATACTTTACCACAATGAACGTTTGTCGACTTCAGCGTACCGCTGTCTGGAGTGCTGCCTGTACAATAACTCCATGGTAGGCATGGTACAAGTTCAGGGCACGCAGCTGCTGTCTGAAGTGCTGTCAGAATGCGTCCTTAGACACACAGTGAAAAAAGAACACCCAACCAAAGCCATCATCATTGCAATTGACAATCAATCACCGAATCTATCCCCGATTATCTGTGTTAGACACAGCAGTGTAAACATCGACACTGGCTAGGAATCGTTCCACATTGAAGGGGTCTTCCACGATGCAGGTACACAATAAAGGCAACGAGTACTTATCCATCTGTAAGTGCGGAGCCGAACGGGTGCTTCGTAGGGTTATTTTTTCCGTGTAGCAGATACTTTGGCGAGTTTCGTGATGCTTTCCGAACCCCTAACCGGAATATACAAACCCTCACAGACTGCAACCTTGACGTACTTCTACGCCCCCCCTCCTCCCCCCCTTTTTTGTACCCTTTTCGTGTTTCGGTATGTCTCTTGCCGACGTTGAAAGCAGCCAGCAAACAAACCCTCCACAGAACTCAACCTTGATATCTTTCCCCGCCCTTTTTTTTAACACTTTTTTTTTTTTTCCAATTTCGATGTCTTATGCCGACGTTGAAAGCAGAGAGCAAACACATCCTACAGGGAAGGGAGGACTTGACCAATCCGAACGGCGACAAAATCAAGCCCGACACGCTTCGGAATGCGCTGCGGGACGCTCGGGTGGAAGTGTCAAGCACGGGTGAATGCCGACTCATATAACTGAAAGCCGGCGGCGGCATGATCGCTAACGGTTGGCACGGTGGATTCCCATGTGACGGAAAGCCGTCCGCACGATTGGTACCGGTTGGCGTGGTGGTTGTTCTTGTAAACCTCATGCAACGGACAGCCGTCGCACGATTGCTGCCGGTTGGCGTGGTCGGTCTTCTGGTGGACCTCATGCACCAGAGAGGCGACAGCACGATTGCTCCCTGTTCACATGGCTGTGCTTGATGTGGATTGCGGACCTCATGTAACGGCAGTCCGCCGGCACATTTCCTACCGGTTGGCATGGCAGACTCTTCTTGTGGATTCCACGGCCGCTGTGGATACGACCTCGTAAACCCTACCGAGATTCTTATCGGCAGTTTTCTCCTGCCTCTCCTACACCCTTTTTTTGTCTTTTCGCGAACTTTGTATTTGAGTTTTTTTTTTGCTTCGCGAGTGGCAAGACCCTTTCTGGATAGTTTTCTTTTTTTAATATTTGTTTTTGGGCCCTAGAGCTTGTAGCCGATGGCACTGGTTTCAATGACTTCGAGGGTACGGAAGAGAAGGTTATAACGACTCTCGAGGCGAAGACGACAGCAACGACAGCAGCCACTACCGCGGCATCAAAAAGAGCTTGTTGCCGTTGGCTCTGGCGGATTGTTCGAGTTCTTCTCGGGTGTGCCGGTCCGGGAGAATGTACCTCAGTGTCGTGAAGTCGGAAAAGAAAGGAAAGATTTGGGCAGGACTGTTGCTGTTGACCAGTCGGCCGTGAGCATTGTCGGTTGGCGGGTTCACGTCGCCCACGTAGTATATAGTAGTCATCGCTGTCGCCTTTGCGTTGTTCTTCCTGCTGTTGGTCCTGTTGTAGCTGTCTTTTTTTGTCGTCGTCGTCAGCGTCGAGGATGTTGCTGCTGATCAGTCGGCATGGGCTTCGTCGGTTGGCAGGTTGGCGTCTCCCACGTCGCTATCGTCGTCGTTCTTGCTGCTGATGTCGTTTTCATCCTCATCGTAAGAGTTTTTTTCGGCAGACGCGTCGGCACAAGCGTTGTCGGTTGGCAGATTGGCAGTTTGTCGCTGTCGTCACTGCGGTTATCGTTGTCGATGTTGCTGCTGCTGACGCGTTGGCACGAGCGTTTTTGCCGGTTGGCAGGCCGGCAGTGTCGTTACTGTCGTCGCTGCTGCTACTGCGGTTGCTGTTGGCAATGTCGTAGTTCCCGAACGATCGTTCTGACCTCTTCTCGGCACCCAATCTTGCGCGCGAATCAGTTTCAACCCGAAAAGACGTGAATCAGTGCTGCAGATTTGATCGTCGCTCGCCCCATGGGGTTGGAATCGTTTTCGGTTGCCTCGACACGCCGGTGGTCAGCACATCGACGTCATTTTGCGTATTTTGTTTCAAGTTTCCTGAATTGTTTTGCTGCTGGCTTTGTGCAGTCTGACAGCGTCGATAGTTGTTTTTTTAGTCCTATTTTTAGTTCTTGTTTGGTGTTATCTGTAGTTTCATCGTCAGCGTCCCCACTGGGACTTGATGAGTTACTGGGTGGTTTACACTACAGGGGTGAGGGGAGAGAAATTTAGCAGATGCAGTTGGTAAGTCGCAAGAAGGGTGATGATGGCGGTGACGGTGCCGGTGAGCTTTTCAATGTTTCTTTATCGTCATCCCTTTTCTTCTCGATGTCGGTCCTTGACTGCGACAGCTTCATGGCCACGACAATCGGGGTACAATAGTTTGTGTTTTTGTAACAAAGGGGGGCACGCTGGGGTAGTGGGGAGAACGTGTTGTGATCTTGGTGCCGATGGCGAAGGTGGGGAGAAAGGAATGGATGGCCCTCTGGGGATGATTTGAAGACGTGCACCGCAGGAAACTGTTCTTGTCTGCGTGATTCCGCGGCAAGTACCCGCAAGGTTTGACCGCTACACGTCGGTATCCCAGGTGTCTGGCAAGAACACCGTCGGTTGCATAAGATCCACACCCCCTGGGCCGGTTTTCGCTAGGCTCGGAATGCAGTGGGCCTGCCGAAAATGGCGGAGTTGGAACCGTCCCGTCGAGAGCTTTCCGAACACGCATCGTTGGCCTTCGGCATCCTCTTGGTCGTGGAGTAACCGAGCTTTGAAAATCGTTCCGGGGGGTGTGGTATCTTGTGCAACCTACGGTAGATGGGGATGGGACAACAAGAAAAACCGGTGATGGGATGACATGAGAAGGGATATCACTGCAGCATGGGAAACGCAGCGTCGCCGTGCTGGCTGTGAAGCGCACCATCTGCCCGATGATGGGTGTCTTGATTGACACGCGCACGTGCTTGCACATTGTACGTCGATGTTGAGGGGACGATCGGTGCTTCATGGGTGTGGGTGACGCTGTCGTTCCTGCAGGCGTGTGTTAGCAGGGTGAGCATGGTCGTTGGGATGGTTGAACGAAATGGTAGATACTGCTGTCGATGTTATCTCTGAAAGACCGGCCCCGGAAAACAAGCAAACGTGACATGATTACCCTTGATGATTACCGTGACGGTGGGGAGAAAGGGACGGCTCTGGGGATGATTGAAGACGAGCCCCGCAGAGAGGGCTTGCCTTTGCTAACCCAACGGCCGATTGCTGTCTGTATAAGCTGTTGCCACGTGTCACCCGACCGTTCGTTTTCGGGTAGCTGTTGTGAAGAGCTCGAGGCGAGAACGGCGTGAGATAGCCGACAGCAGACATGTGTTCCTTCATTCTCACCGCGGGGGGTGCGCAGGCTCATGATCAGTCTTGGTTGGTCACAAGTGATGGCGTTGCTTTCAGCTTTTGGTTTCGATTCCTTTCGTCACGATCGGCCGTAGCGATACCTACGTGTGGGCGGGGCCATGGAGGCCCCCGCGATTTCAGGGTCTTGCGACACCCTAGCCCTTCCCTTCCCAACTTCGCAGTTGATCGGATATTAATAGCATCCCTCGAGCGCTCATCATGTTGCTGTACAATACACCGCGTTTTGTTTTATGGATTCGAAGCGCCGAGGAGCACAGATCGATTCGATAACGTTTGTTCTTATGGGTTCGTATCACCGAAGGGCTTACGATCACTGGAGGAATGTAAAAGGCTTTTCTTTGTTGTGTTGGAGCTTGGCGTGGGGGTGATGACAGCCAGGCGGGGTTTGTGTTGTGTCGTGCGCTGCTATGTACTGCTGCTTTTTTCAGGGATGTTCATGTCTCTTTCGCACGGCAACGGAGTAGTACAGTAGTAGCTGGAGACGATGAAGTAAAGAGCGTCAAATAGCAGGGGTGTGTGCAGCGCTGCAGCGAGTAGAGAGACGCGCGTGGCTGATCGGTTCAGCGAAGCCGCAGCATCATGGCCACACAAACAAGTGAGCCTAGCTGTACGAGACGGAAGGGAGGGGAGATGGGGATGTAGGTCTGGCACGAAGGTCCGAGGTTCTTGTAGTCCGAGGTTCTTGTAAAGTAAAAACGAAATGGGGGGGGGGGAATGGAGAGGTTCTGCTTGCTGTGCGTCTTCTATCAATCGGATGTTGTGCATGCTACTACGGCCGGTAGTGGTGGGTGGCGCACAGTGACGGGTGGTAGGCGTGGGAGGGGCACGTGGATGTACGTCCAATCGTTGATCTCTAGATGTGGCATCAGCAACGAAGGGTCGGAGCTTGCTGAACGTACGACGGTAGGTAGCGCATTGATATCTTGTGTTTTGTGTAGGACGTGTTTGGCTATCAGTGCGTTGCCCAGAGATCCTCAACGAATGCGTGTACACCAATCGAAAATGGCCGGGGTCGACGAGAGTTCTTTGGCTTCAGCAGGGCCGTGCGGGCCGGGGGGCTTCTACCTATCCCTGTCTTTTCCGCGGTGATGTTGACGGTGATGGAGGAGGTGAAGGAGGCAAGTGGAATAGTACGACCTCAATTGAGTCCTGTTTTCTCTCTGACGATCGTATGTATGTGTAGTGTGTGTACGTTGCCTGCTCCATCCAGTGTGTTGATGCTGTCAAGGTGTTGACATTTGTCGATGTTTTTTGTGTCAGCCAGCAGTCAGTCCCTCCTACTGCATGATGTGGTCGTCGTATGAGTAAAGTAAGAACGAGTGAGGTATGGATGTGGTGAATGATTCACAGTAATATAATGACATGACATGAACGGATTGTTTTCGTGTGGTATTTCCCCCCCACAATATGCGCGCGTGTCGTCGCGTTGGCCCCTACTTGCTGCAACAGGTCCGATGGGTCGGATATGTTTCAGCTCGCCCAATCTTGCTCCAAAGATTGGTGTTTTCTCACTTTCTTCATGCTCTCACGACAGACTCACCTACCTTCGGTACAGCACCAGAAACAACGATCGGGGCTTTTCCCCGATATATTCTGTGCTTACTACTTGTATAATAGAGGAAAAGGTTGCTTGCTGGGAGCTACTTGTTGTAAAATACCACAAAATACTCCATGTATGTATGTTTGTCGAGGGAGGAGGGCGAAGCGGGGTGGTTCTCTGTTATATTTTTATCAAATACCACAGTGAATCCATGTCCTCCCCCCACGCACTACTATTATTCTACCATGAAAGGAGAGGGTCTACGATTGGTAGTGAAATCATAGCTTTTTAGCGGAGCACTACTTGTTGTACGCATATTATGCCTGCCTGTCTGTGTTTCTACGATTGATTCCCGAAGCAGCCGTTTTTCGTTATTTTTCATGCGATGAAAATAAAACACTGTCTACAGCTGTAGTAGTATACAGCAGTACAGCAGCACTTCCAGCGAGCAAAACAAGGACACCCACCGGCTCCTCGTCGCGATGATAAATTAATCATAGGTGATGCAGGCGTGCTGTGGGTGGGATGGGGCGATATATGCATACTGCTGTAGTACACTGAAAAACAGATTACATTAATACAAATTGCAGCCAACCGATGAGCTCGGCACAGCAGGCGCTGGATAGGAAGGTGAGGGCGACGGCGAGCGGAGTGCGCTTGCTTCTACTCTTCTATACTGCTACATGCAAGTGCACAACAACCGAGCTGATGCGTCGGGCAAATAATTATTCTAAGCGAAAATGTAAACATAGACTACAGATCTCCAGATCATATATTTACACACAACTGCGTGTTACTGCTGTTGATATGGCCTCCCTTCCACTACACACAGCAGCAAGCAGTACACCAACATATGCATACAAGCCTGGCCCGTGTGGTCATCGTTCCGAATCGCCTGCTGGCTGATCGATTTGGTCCTACTTATAGTACTGTAATACGCATACATGCATACAGCGGTACAACAAGTATACGTTGGAAAAAAAAATACCCCGCATCATCATCATTGCTGCTTCGGCGGTGGCCATCTCAATACCCACCCCACTTCCCGTAAACTTACAGCCCACAGCAAGTAGGATGAAAAGGCGTGTATAGTATATGTAGAGGAGGCGACCGGGGGGTGATGCACAGAATTGTAATTATGCAGCAAGGGAACATGGATCAACCGTTGTACATGCATATCAGCATCGTCTAACATGCGGCAATCAATCTAGCGATCGATGCAATGCGCGAACTGGAGATATATATTCCAAGCAGTAGCAGCGATGGTCTCGTCAACATACTGTACTATCGCATACCAGAGAACTGCTGTATCCATGCAGCATCATCAGTCGTACAGCAGTAGTGAGTGTGTCCTCTCTCTCAACACTTGGTGTTCGCGCGTGCGTTTTTTGGATAAAAAAGTAGAGGTTCTTTCAAAGATTCATATATGTTCTTTTGTTCTTTTTGTGAACTTCAAGCCCAAACCGACACACCTCCAGCGAACGGCCCGGCCACTGGAAAATTGGTCCGTCTTTTCGCTGAAATGAACCGTTGGAAGCGCCACATTTCTCGCAGCCACTCAAATCTGGGCGCCCTGTCAGCAGCATCGGCAAGAAGCTCGCGGACATCGCCCACACGGCCACGTTGTCCCCCCTCAGACCTCTATATTGAGAAACCAGCCCTGACCAGAGGCACTCCACGTCGACAGGAAACACAGGGAGATTTGAAGACCAAGGCCGTCTCAGCAGCAGCAAGGTTGTTAACATCTTTTTGACGACAACGAGAGAGCGAGCTCTGCAATGATGGCGTTCTGCGAGGTGGAATCGGAGATTGATCGCGAGTTTGACCTGGGGGTACCAAGCGATGATGGATGTGAGTCTTGTCTTTGGCACGAGAGAATGCCTGCGTGTTGGCGTGCCTGTCGCTGGGCGTTGAGTTTGCAACGCTTGCTTGTCGCCTCTGGAGTCGGTTGTGATGGTGTGCTGTTGTGCACAGCAAGCCGCCTCGCTCTCTTATCATGCTTTTTCTGGAAAACAGACGAAGGGAGCGGCGTTGTCAGCTCAGGCAGCAGCAGCAGTGACAGGGCAGTTGCTTTCGCTCTTGAGCACCACGGTCGCCAGCCCTAATGAAAATTCACCCCACACCAAGGGGTTGTCGGTCAGGCCCCCAAGCTGTCCTTGCCGCCACAAGGCAGCGATGCCCAACTGCGCGAACAGACAAGAGCTTTTTTGGGCGGCGCTCGCCGCTTCTTTGATTGCAAGTTGAATTTTCACTTTTGTTTTTGCGGAAACGTTGCCACGCGTCAACGGACGTCGCATGCACGTGATGCGCTTTGTTGCGGGCCTTGCGGCATCGCCTCAGCCTTGACCGAAAATCGGCACGCGGGGCTTCTTCCTTGCGGAGGACATGTCCTGGCCTAGCCACAGGCTCGTTGTTGCTCCTCACCGCCCACGCCACGGGGATACATCCATGGCGTGGCGTCGGATGAATGCATGCAGATGCGAGAGCGAGAGGAAGAAGATTTTTTTTTTGACAGGTCGCAGCAGTTCATACGAATCCTACGGAACTCGGACAGACACAAAAACGCTCGGTGCTGTTGCCGCCGCTGCTGTGTATGCCGCCCCAGGCATGTCGCAGAGTGCCCTGTGTGTTGCTTCTCGTGGCCCATGGGTGTAGGAAAACAGACCTCTGGTCGACGCCGCGGCGTCGTCGTTCATCCTGGTTTCAAATTCATCTATTTTTGCCCAACAGACATGGCAAACGGCACCACGTGGTGGGTCTTCGTTTTCAAATAATACTTCGTTGTATCTAATAACACAACAAAGGGCAATCCACGATTCATACAAAACAGACGTACGCATACAACATGACGTGACACGCACATACACGACGCGCCGCCAACTAACGCCACCTAGTGCCTGCGGCACCTTTTGCTGGCGTTGATCGACCCCACCACGCCCTCTCATTCACACTTCGGCTAAATAGCAGGCTGACGTACCGGCGGTTGTACCGGGTAAGCAACACGTTGCCTTTTTACATTTTTGCGGATGGATGCCGTGATCACGCGTGTACAGAGATCAAGGTTATCTACTCTGCGCTTTGTACCAGTAGTTCCTCAGAGATCGACTTTTC